ATTTGTAATAACTGTTAATGTAAATTATACTGTTGTGTGTATATTGAAACGGATTTGTGTTAAAAAGAAAACTATGTATCAATCTTGTTGGCAAATATCATAAATTGGAGATATATCAGCATATATTTAAATACTAAATCCAAAGTACAATTTAACTACTAAATTTAAATTTATCAGTTAACTCAATTTCAGGCTATTTGAAATTCTAGTACATAACAGTACAAAGATCTTTTACACTAGTGAATGTCAGTTGTATCTAAAATTCTAAATAATTCTCTTTTCTTGTCGAAAGTCCACACACAGTCTAGTTCAGTTACTTTAGAATCCTGTTGACAAGACGAATTATTTTTCTCTACTCTGTTTCTTGATATACGATCTGTGATAAGTTCACTTATGTTACCCTGTGGGTTACCACAGTTGTATCCAGAACTTTAAATAATTGATTCCTTTTCGTCAAAGTCCACACACACGGGTTCAATTACTTTAAAACATCCTTTGACAAGACAAATTATTCTCTTTATCTCTGGTAAACTGTGAAACTCACTTTAAAATATCGCCTGTTATCGCTAAACTAACAACCACGCAGTCTAACTTCTTTTATTGGTTTCCACAGTTGTATCCAGTTGTCTCTCTTTTTTTTTTCGTCAAAAGTCCACACAGGTTGGTTCAGTTACTTTAGAACTCAAATCAGAAGACATATTATTTTTTCTATCTCTGTTGTTACAATACAGCTGTGAAATATACTATAGAAATCATCTGTTAATGCAAATCACTCACACACCGACTAACTTCACTAACTAACTTTTTTCTTGACTAAACTTCAATTGCACTCACTTGGTCGCGTATATATATATATATATACTTTGCCTAACTGAGGCCTCGAACTTTCTACAAACTACGATACGTTATGATGTTACAATACTCACTTAAAACAGCCCCCAGTAGCACAGCGGTATGTCTGCGGACTTACAACGCTAGAAACCGAGTTTAGATACCCGTGGTGGGCAAAGCACAGATAGCCCTTGTGTAGCTTTGCGCATAATTAAAAACAAACAAACAAACTTAAAGCAACGAGAAAAACAACGGAGATTCGAGTAACGTGACGTTAACTTACAAAAACTATACATACAACGTTCGACTCTCACCGAGTTAGTTAACGAAATTTGTCATAACTATCGCCTTTAAGATAATTACTTTTAACACTTGTTACGAAAACTAAATAATCGTTATTTATTAGATCACTAAATGCACTAAATAATAACTCTTACAATACACAGTCTTGTATATCCAACATAAACTGGACTAAGTTGGTTACTCTAAAAGCTGCAATACAAAGCAAAAAGAAACAAAAATTGTTAATAAGTTTAAACTTAACATGATTTGAATTTCTGTCTTAATTTATATTAGATTCACCACGAGCAGAACATGTTTTCAAGTCCACTAAACCCTAGGTTATTTAAATAATTTATTTCGTCCATATTTAACGTACTATGTTACATATGTGCAAATGAGTGTGGCACTCTTTGTGCTGTCTAAAGTCACATATGGGTAACACGATACCACCTGGTCCTTGAAGGGGTCCTTGCATACTTACCTTTGAGAAAAGTAGCAGTTTAAACCCACACTTTATTTTTCGAGAAATCATCCATCTCACCCCTCCCCCCTAAACTTTTATAAAGTTTTCAACTACTGCGGGCGTTAACTCATTTCATAAGCGAGTAAACCTCGTAGAAAAATAAAATTTTGTTTTCACTGAAGCCTAACCTGTCTTTTCCAGATTCTTAACTTGTGTCATCTGGTTCCATTGTCTTCAAAATACAGCATAAAGAAAGCAGAGGTATTTATGCTATCGATCACCCGATAATCTTACAAACTTCAATAAGATCACCTCTTTAGTACGTTGGAGTGATAGTGAAGGTCAAGATATTTATATTTTGTAACATTATTTTCTTTGTCTGTTCTAACTACTTGCGCAAAGCTACACAAAGATTACCTGCACTAGCCGTCCTTAGTTTTGAACTGACAGCCTAGAAGGAAAACAGCTCGTCAACTGGAAAAAGCGTTAACTCTTGAGCTACTCTAATTGAATAGTTGGATTTAACCGTCATTTTAAAAACACCCTTGGCCGCAAAATGCGGAGCGAGATCTTGAGGTAAAAAGACCAGGACCAGTATACTAACCACTAAGCCACACCTGGCTCATTTAACCTTAGTAATTGAATAAGTTACCATTTATTATTATGTGTCAGATCTCGACAAAAAGGATACTTTAAAAAATAATTTTATTATTAACATTTACGGACTTACCTGCAGGAACAGGAATGGTTAAAGAACAAGCTATACCTCCAATAAAAAGTGAAGCTAACAGCGGCATCTTTCGACCGAAATATTTCAGACTAACAAAGGCCAAAAACTGAGCTGGGAATTCAACAGCTCCAGCAATAAAAAAATTTAAGAAAGGATTTCCATAAAGGTCATTTGTGTTGAGGGAGAGTCCGTAAAAGATGAAAGCTGTCACAAACCTGAAATGTAGAGATTAGAACTGAATCAAAATTACAAAAATCAAAAGCGAAGGAACACATTTTAAGCTCTTCACTGTGGCAACACTCTTTCTTCTCTGTGCAGGTTTTTTTGTGTGTAATTTTACAATAACGTTTTGAATGCGTTGATCGTTTTTGCTTTGATTTTTTGTTTGAAGTTTATCACAACTAAATATCCAGCTGCAGAACTCAAGCAGCGAATATTGGAGAAGCCCAAGAATGTATACCGAAACTTCTGTGAAGGTATGTTGTCCTGCTGGAGATATCCAACGGTCAAAAGACTTTGTCGTTTAATATATATTATTGTGCCCGGCATGGCCAGGTGGGTAAGGCGCTGGACTCACAATCTGA